TGCTATGGCTCAAGTGGTAGAGTGCTAGCCTTGAGCAAAAGAAGCTCAGGTACAGTGCCCAGGCCCTGAGTTCAAACCCCAGGACTGGCAAAAACAAAAACAAAAAACCTTGATCCTTAGATCTCAGGCCCCTGATTAGCTAGGGTTCCTAATATAAGCCACCAGTACCTGGCTGTGATATACTGCATTCTTTGTGTGTCTGTGGCAGTACTGGGACTAGAATTCAGGACTTTGTACTCTTGCTTGGCTTTTTGCTCAAGGCTGCCTTTTTACCACTTGAACCACACCTCCCCTTTCATTTTCCTTTACAATAATAGAAAAATAATTGCTTTGTTTTCTTTTGGTTTCAAATGGTGCTATTAAGTTTATCATTCTGACTCTTGAATTTTTACATTTTGTTCCTGGAAGCTTTGGGAAAGTATTGTTTTCCCTCAACATTCTCCAGCTTTCATATTGTATGATGTTTTTTATATTATGGTACCAGTCCCGGGGCTTGAACTTAGGATCTCACCTCTCCCCCTGAACTTTTTCATCAAGGCTAGCACTCTACCACTTACACCATAGCTCCACTTTGCCTGTTTGGTGGTTCTTTGGAAATAAGAGTTGCCCAGACTTTTCTGCCCAGGCTGATTTGAACCTTGATCCTCAGATCTCATCCTTCAAAGTAGCTAGGATCATGGGCATGGGCCACCAGCACCTGGCAGGACCATCTCTTTTTATCTTGACTGAAAAAACAACTTAGCCACCATTGCCTGTCATAAGAGTAAAACAACAGAATGCATGGCCAAGTCCCTTCTCAGAGCCTGATGTTTTAAAGAAAAATCCATCACAGTTTCACTCATTGGGGCTTAAAGATAAACTAAGAGAGGAGAAGAAACCCATTCACTGAGCTTAATGCTTTCTATTTCCTATCATTGGCAATTCCCATGTACTGTCCATTCCTGGACTTATCCTTCCATATACAAGAATGATACATTTTACTGCTGTGGTAATGTGGCAAACTCTGTTTGCATACTTTGTCTTTTCCAGGAGACCCTTCTACTACTATCTCTCTTCCTACCATCTTTTCCCCTTCCATTGCAAAAGCATGTTTATTGTTTCAGGGATCTGTGACATTCACAGATGTGTCTATAGACTTCTCTCATGAGGAATGGGAATTCCTGGACACTGGTCAAGTGAATTTGTACAAAGAAGTAATGTTGGAGAATTTCAGCAACCTGGTTTCAGTAGGTAAGAATAACTAACCCCCCACCCCTCCT